ACAGATTGGCCGAGGCTGCACCTCAGGTTGCTCGCTTGCTCTCTAAGTGTCGTTCACTTAGCTCATATCTGAATGTTCACTACATCCCCTGCTTTGCCTCGCCTCACCTTGCTTTGCCTCTCAGTACAATTACACATGAGGCAGCTTGCTTTGATGGTCAGCAGGCCGCAATCAAGAGGATGTACATCTTGTTTAAGGCACCATGCTATATCAGTGTCACACCAGCACCGTGTGTCAGCAGCTGATGTGGCTAACATGTGCATGTGCAGCAAACCAGCAGCTTTTCCAAGTAGTCCTCACTGAAGTTCATGGAGGCACCCATCAATCAAGGGGTCCTAACACAGTAAGGGGATTAGCCAGAGTCAGGTGTCTGGTTGGGGTTTTCTCGCTGGTGGGTCTGCGTCTCTACTGTGCAGGGCAATGGGTCACAGTAAGTCCGGTGGCTCCATAGTGGAAAGTCCAATAGAAAGGACTATCAGTTATGCACATGTACAGCCATCAGGCAGCAGTCTGCAGACTCTTTTTTGGTTGTCTGGTTAGGTGGCTTAACAAGGTGGGTCAGACTCTATGGTCCATCTGGAGAAATTGGAGGGAAGGGTGGTGAGGAGGCATTGTGTGGAATGGGCATATATGTAGGAAGGAAACTTGGAGAAGGGGGTGACAATTGTGAAAGAGGGTGACTGAATTTCTAAGTGGGGTTATGGTAAAGCAATAATGGAAATGGGCTAATGTGAAGCAGGGGATTCATTCATGGTTAGGAATACCTTGCTTCAAGAAGTCACAGGTCCCTTCAGAGCTGGGGCTTAGCAGGTGCTTGCTCTCCAGCCGCCCTCTGAGTGCCAATGACCTTGGATGTTTTTTTCCCTCTGTCAGTGCGGAGTAGTCCCAGTGAGGTGCTCTCCAATTTGTGCTTCCGAACTTTCTAAGCGTTATGTTGCCACCGAGGTGTCAGTGTTTGTGGTCGGGAGGGTTGCTGGAGGCAGCCTGGCCAATGCTTCTTCTGAGGTGTCCGAACTCTTTTTCAGGGATCAAGTAAGTGACTTCTGACAGACCGGGTCATTCTTCAGTAGGGCTGTGAGCATCCTACTGGCATCTGCAAGATTTGAGAGAGAGAAAGCCTCATGGCCAATTGTTAGAAGTGTTGTGCACTGCATAACGCTGACAGTGGGGTACTGTGAGAGTTGCAGTGGAATGAAGGGTGGCACCTACTCAGTTCAGTGGGACATGGATGTCTCAGCATCCCCACAGGAGCAGTCCTGGTCTCCTCCTGTCAGGACAGGAATTTCTCCTTGCGGGGGTGAGAAGCCAAATGTCAAGCACTCCTTCACCCACATGGCTTTCTACCCTGCTATAGATTACTTTCTGGTGTATGTGCTCAAAAGCTGGTGACGTGTACTGAGTGAGTAGGCAGCACAGAGTATTGCAGATTAATCGTGTGGGAGGCTGTGGGGGGTTGGAATGAGATTGAGTGGGGGAAGATGTTGCAGGCAATAGTGAGAGTGGTAGATCATGAGGCATGGTGGAAGGTGGATTCAGTTGCAAAGATGGAGTGTGAGGTCGCAGGAAGAAGAGTGTCGTCCTTACCCTGGTAAAACGGACAAGGTCTTTGACCTTCCTACAGCACTGCTGGCTGTTCCTCTAGATCAGCCACCAACCTGGGTTGTCAGGGTCTGGTGTTGCGGCCTCCTCAGGGGAAAAGGGTGCCCCTCCTCTGCACAATCTCATCCACTAGTGCTGCCAAGTCCCTGTCAGAGAATCGTGGCTTGTGTTTCCTTTCTTAGACATATAATCGAAGAATCCCTACAGTGTGGAAGCAGGCCTTTAAGCCCATTGGGTTTATGCCAACCCTCTGAAGAGCATCCCACTAGATCCACCTCCCCCCCCGACCCTATCTGTGCATTTTCTATGGCTAACCCACTTAGCCTGCACATCCCTGGACACTATGGACAATTTAGCATGGCCAATCCAAATAATGTACACAACTTCGTAGGAAACCAGAGCTTCTGGAAGAAGCCCATGCAGACAAGGGGAGAATGGGCAGAGTCCACACAGACAGTTGCCCAAGGGTGGAATCGAACCTCAGTCCCTGGTGTTATGAAGCAACAGTGCTAACCACTGAGCCACATCTTTGGAAAGGCTGCCCTTCAACAAGCAGGGTGGTTTCGGAATGCCACTGCCAATCTGGGTGCACAGCAACCTTTGAAAGTCTGGCATCCTTGACATGTATGACATCTTTAAGCAGATATCTGTTGATTGGTGAGTTGTTCCAGGAACAGTGGATGGTAGAGTGGGGCTGGAATTGTGTGAAAAGGGCACCATTGTGGCAGGATAAGAAGTTATTGAAGCAAGTTTGGTAAGATATGGTGGGAGATCACAGTAGAACTTGTGGAGAGACACTCTCCATGACACTTGATGAAACTGACACTGAACCAAAACTACATAAAATATATGTCAAGTTTAATCTCTACAGTGAAACCAGAAAAAGCTGTAAGTGCTCAGCTGATCAGGCAGTCTTTGTGGAGAGAGAAACAGAATTAATATTTGAGGTCAATCAGAACAGGAAAACCTTGGATATTAAGCAAATAAATATGGGGCAAGGAAAGAGGGATTAGTGGTGTGGTATTGAACAAAAAGAAAGATCTGGTTTGGTGAGAAAGGCAGGAGAGATTAAATCACCAAAGGTGTGATGCTGCAAGGCAAAAGCATTTGGTAATGGAGCAAGAAACAAAAGATGATGGAGATATAAATGCGAATAGAAGAATCATTGCGAGCACCTGCCATCTGAAAAAGTGAAAGCACAGTCTTTGATGTGATTTGATTTATTGTTGTCACATGTACTTAAGTACAGTGAAAGGTTTTGTTTTGCGAGCAGTACAGGCAGATCATTGCAAACAAAGACATACAGATCGTAGGGTACCTAAACAGAGCAGGGCATACAAGGGTTATGGCTGCACAGGCGGTGCATAAAGCAAGATTAACATTAGCAAGATCAATATTATTTGAAATTAAAGAGGTCAAGGTTATGTCCTGAAATTGTTAAATTAAAGAGTTCATTTCAGAAGGCTGTAAAATGTCACATTGAAAGATATTCTTCAAACTTTGTTGAGGACACCACTCACTGTCCTTGGGACACAGGCCCTTTAGGATTAGTTTGATCTGGCATAGTATGGCTGAGCCACTCATGTGACTGAAGTTAAAGTCTCCCATCCAGTGTGCCTTAATTTGAGTATTGTAACACAGTATTTATGATACTAAAATGATATTTTAAAAAGAAGAACTCCACTCAACTCCCACAATGACCAAGTTGTGAAGTTGCAATCAACCAGTATGGTAATCTGTGTGCCAGTTGCAGAACCTGATTACTACAGCAATTTGTAAAATCCCAACATATTCAGTAATATGCTTTAAGGAAGGGGTTCAGCCCATCACCCCCTTAATAGAACTCTAATACCCGATATGATTAACTTGTAAATCACTTGGGTTATTAGAAATGGGCAATCGATACTGCCCTGTAATAATGAAGGACAGTCACATATAGTTAATTATTTCTTACCTAAGGCTTAGTGTCAATAGATTCTGCAGTGTGTAATGAAATATTAAAGCGCAAGGTTGTGTTGTAACGTTTCTTTTAAATGTTTCAGGAAATGGTGGAAAATGAGCTTTCAGTAATACTTCTAAAATGGTTTAGTTTCAACATAATAATTGTTTATAGAGCTTTCCTTATAATAATCAGGCTTGTTTTGTTTCAATGGTTACTCAAATGAGACAAACATAGCGTTTCTTTTCTTCAAAATTAAAACTGATCTGAAATTATCTTTGTAAGAATAGTTTTTGTTTCCAAATTTTTTAGAAAGTATGAAAATTATTTGTATTGTTTACAAAGAATATTAAATGCCTTTGGAATCTAGGTAGGGAAAGCACTGAAATCAAATGGATTTTAGCCTTATGTGAAGATTCATGCAATTCAAACAGCTTTAAGCTGAACTAGGCAAATAGTTAATGTCCCAGATCTTCCAGTTGTTCCAGGAACAGCGGGTGGTAGAATGGGCTGGAATTGTGTGAAAGGGGCATCCATTATAGCAGGGTAAGAAGTTGTTGAAGCAAGCTTGGTAAGATATGGTGGGAGACCACAGGGGCAGCATGTTGGCTCAGTGGTTAAGCACTGCTGCCTCACAGCACCAGGGACCCGGGTTCGATTTCAAACTCGGGTAACTGTCTGTGTGGAGTTTGCACATTCTTCCCATTTCTGCTTGAGTTTCGTCCGGGTGCTCTGGTTTCCTCCCACAATCCAAAGACATGCAGGTTAGGTGGATTGGCCATGCTAACTTGCCCATAGTATCTGGAGATGTACAGGTTAGATGAATTAGCCATAGAAAACGCAGGATTACAGGGATAGGGTAGAGGGATGAGTTTGGGTGGGATACTGTTCGGAGAGTAGGTGCGGACTCATTGGGCCGAATGGCCTGTTTCCACACTGTGGCGATTCTCCAATTTGGTCACTGGTGTGCAATGAGTTAACTGGTTTGAGTAGGAGCAGCACAATAGATCTTGCTTCTCCATAATCTGGGAGCCATTCATGGGATGTGGGCTTTGCTCGCCGGGTCAGCATTTATTGCCCATCCCTAGTTCACCGTGAGAGCTTGGTAGTGAGGTACTTTCTTGATCTGCTGCAGTCTAAATAGCGAGTAGGCATACTGTAGCAAAATCCTGCAGTTCATAATTCATTGACCCCCAGATTGAACAGCGTGCAGAAGTTGAGTTAACAGGATTGATTTCTACAGTGTTTTCACCTCGTTGTCAAAAAGTCTGTCGGTGTCGTAAGATCATGTACATGTAATAACTAATAGTTAGGAAAAAGTGAAGGAGCTGCAGCCGATTAACTTATTTTTCTCTCTTGGACATTTGGCAATATGTTCCCAGCATTTCTGACTTATTTCTGTTATCAATAATTTCTTATATCTTAATAAAGAAAAAGTTAACTCATGTTTTGATTTTTTTTTAGGAATTACTTACCTGGATCATGCAGGTGCAACGCTTTATGCTCATAGTCAGATTCATCGCTTTTACCAAGACCTTGCAGAAAATATCTATGGTGGGCCTTAGCAATAATTTCTAAGGAATCTTTTCTCATTTCAAATTTAAAGTCTTTTCTTGCAAAATAATAATGATTGCTCTGTGATACACATTTTCCTTAAATATTAAGTTCAATTTCCATGAAATTTTGAAAGACATGAATTAGAAGTAGTATTCAATGTTTTGTTTAATAGTTCAATCTTTCTTCTTCTATCACTGGTATTGTTTTCCACACATTGTAGTTTGGACAAAAATGGTCCACTTTTGTAGAGAAAATACAGTAGCTATGACCAAAAGTGGCACAAGAGAACCAGATAGTTTAGTTTAATAAAAACAGAAAGTACTGGAGAATCTCAGCAAGCCTGGCAGAATCCATTGCGAGAGAGAAGAGTTAACATTTCAAGTCCAGTATGACTCCTCTTCAGAAGATGGGATGAATAAGAGTCATACTGGACTCAAAGTGTTAACTCTGTTTCTCTCGCCATTGACACTGCCAGACCTGCTGAGTTTCTCTCGCAATTTTTGTTTTGTTTCAGATTTCCAGCATCTATAGTATGTTACTGTTAATCTGTTGAGTGTTTTTAATTTGGAAATCCATAATTAACTTGCAATCTTTAAATTCCCCTCACTCAATACTGCCAAGTTAATATTTAAAAGACGCAAAAGTACAGAACATCAGTCAATAATTTTAAAGTTTTCTTCCTCTCTTATGTTTGTTTTCTGTGTTAACATTAACATCAACAAGTAACATGGTTTATTTGTTGCTACTGTTACCAGATTCAAATCAACTAAAAATAAAAATCAGGCACTGAAAAAAACACAACTCTACTTCCTAGACATCCAATAGCATGCATTCCAGTTTTCTGAAATTCGTGTACATTTTTAGAAGCCATGCTATTTTTTAGTTGTTACATTATAGTGCATCGGAATTGTTGAAGATTTTAGATTAATGGTTATTCAGAACTAATCCTTTGTGTTTCTGATATGTTTCAGGTAACCCCCACAGTGCAAATATTGCCAGTCGATTGACACATGACACTATTGAACGAGTTCGTTACAGGTATAAAATGTGTTAGCACATGTACCGAGCTACTTCTTCAAACTTAATCCTGTAAATTTAGGAAATCTGTGCATCCCTTAGTTTTTCTGTGTCTGTTCCACATTCTCTACCATCAACACACCCAGGTACTGAATTTTCAATCAGGGTTCAAGAACTTGAAGTGACGGGGATTTTCAAATCCTTGACAATTAAAGGACGGGGAGTGGGCTCACATTCAATGGAGGTTGCACTCCTGAGACTGGAGAGCAGCAGAGATGCTCTGCTACACTGTTATTGACAGTCTGTTGAGATGGGGTGGCGCTGTCAATATTAAAATAAGCACTGCAAGGCACACGCCCAAGTTATTTTCACTGGTAGTTAGTTTTACTTTTTTAAGAAGCTGCAGCTTCCAGAGCATGATCCTAAATGGCCCATCCTTCCAGGGGATGGACAGGGCACAGCTGTGGCCCGGTCGCCCTGTGGGAAAGTTGGGTTGCCCCTTACTTGACCCATTTGCCCCTCACCACCCTGTCTTGAGTCCACCATAATGCTATTTAGTTGGCCTCCACTTCAGTTGAACAGCTGATTTAATTCTGAGCCAGGCTTGTTTAAAATAGTTCAGCTTTAGAATTGTGCTGGGAAACCAGCATTGAAGTTGGTGACATGAATTTTTTTCCCCCACTTGCCTTTTACCAAATACTGACCTAGTTGTATGCTTTAACATATTTGTGCAGTTCTCTCTATATCTCTCTTGTTGTCTCTTCCAGCCATGAGTCTTTTTCTCTCTGTCTGGTTTTATTTTGAAAAGCAGCCAGAGCAAATATTACTTGAAATCTTCTGCTAAAGTATGTTTATTTGTGTATTTATTCAGTTAAATATTTAACATAAGTTGCAGCTTAAATGTTCAACAAACTAGAATTAAATGCAGTTAACTTTTACAAGTGTTTTGATCTTTGAGTGGAAAAAATAAATTTAGTATCAGCTTGATTTTTTTTATTTTTCTGAGGTCTTTGTAAGTTCTGTTTTGAAATTAAAATGAGATTTATAAGACATCTAGACATCTTGTCTTAAACAGAAGATTTCAGTTGCATTTATCCTTCAGTAATTTGTCCTATTGATAGCAGAACATGCTCTATTTCAACACAGAAGTGAAAGTATATTTACAATGAATCTTTGATCCTTCAGCAAGCCTTGAGAATATTCTACAACTCACTAGATTCTGAAAGGTTCCAGCAGCCTGCTCGTGATTCCCTAGTACAAGAAGGGAGGGAAATTGATAGCAGGAATCAATAGACCAGTCAACCTAACTTCTGTCATTAGGAAAATGCTAGAGTCCATTATTAAGAAAGAAATCACGGACATTTAGAAAAGCTTAATGCAATCAAACAGAGTCAACACAGTTTGGGAAATGAAAATCGTGTTTGACAAATTTGCTAGATTTCTTTGAGGAAATAACAAGCAGAATTGATAAATAGGAGCTGATAGATGCAGTGGATTTGGATTTCCAGGAGGTTTTCAATGAGCTTCCATATAGAAGGCCCAAGATAAGATTGCACAACATTGGGGTTAATCCTCATGAATTGAGGATTGGTTAACACAAAAAAGATAAGAAGTCTGAATAAACGGGTATTTTTCAGGTTGGGAAGTGTAACTAGTGGAGTGCCACAAGGATCAGTCCAAGGTCCTCAATAAGATACCATCTATATGAATGACTTAGAAGAGGGGATCAGAGTGTAATGTATCCAAATTTGCTAACAATATAAAAATTGGTAGGAGGGCATGTTGTGAAGAAGACATAAGGAAACTAAGAGAATCTAGATAGGTTGAGTGGGTGGGCAAAACTTGGTAGATAGAGTTGAATGTGGGAGAATGTGAAGTAGGAAGAATAAAAGGCAGGCTATTATTTAAATGGAGAGAGACTCCAAAAAAGGTGCAGTGCAGAGGGACCTGGGTATTCTTGCGCATGAACCACAAAAGTAGTAAGAAGGCAAATTGAATTTTGGCATTTATTGATAGGGATGTGGAATTTAAAATTAGCAAAGTCCCATTACAACTGTACAGAGTGTTGGTGAGGCCACATGTGGTGTACTGTATACAGTTTTGGTCCCCATATTCAAAAAATGCAGTTGTTGGCTTTGGAGACAGTTCAAAAGATAATCACGAGGCTGAATTCTGGGAGGAAGGAGTTGACTTATTAAGAATGGCTAAACAGATTAGTCCTTTATTTGTTAGAGTTTAGCAGAATTAGGTGTGATCTTATTGAAACTTACAAAATTCTGAGGGGACTTGACAGGGTAGATGTCAGGGTAGAAAATGGAAGCTTGTGATAGATATTGAGGGCTCGAAACAGAAGAAGCCCTAGAGGAGTTTAGAAAGTACTGGAGGTTATTTGAAAATTAAATTAGGAGACTGAAAGGTGTTATGAGAAAATATTGGCAGGAGAAATAACGGAAAATCCAAATGCATTTTGTAAGTACATTCGGTGCAAGAGGATAACCAAGGAATAAGTAGGACGCATAGGGATTTAAGTGGCAATCTGTGTTAGAAGCCGAACATGGAGGTAAGGTTTTAAATTATCTTAAGCTGTATTTATCAGGTTTTGCTTACTTATTTAATATAGCTAGATCCCTGTATGTCCTCTTCACAACATGCCCTCTCACATATTTTTATATCGTCAGCAAATTTGCATATGTTACACTGATTCCTGCTTTCAAGTCATTGATATAGATAGTATGTAATTGAGGACCTAGAATTGATCCTTGTGGCACTCCACAAGTTATGCTTTCCAACTTGAAAAAGGCCCATTCATTATTCAAAAAGGGTAGCAGGGATAAATCAGGGAACTATAGGCCATTGAATGTGACATCAGTGAATGATGAATGATTTATTTATTGTGACTTGTATGGAGCAAATAAATAGTGGAAAGTATAAAATGTTGTCATGCTCTGGCACCATTTTGAGTTACACAAAATATAAAGATCTAACTAACTGTAACTAAAAATAGAATTCTTCCTCCCTTCTTGTGCTCTGATTGACATCAGGCGGGCATCTCCACAACAGGCTTCATGCCTGCCAATGCCTCCGCATCACAGTCCAATCCAGGAGTCCTGCTTTGGGGCTACCACCGCGCTGTCGTTCCACCGCCACAGCACCACTCCTGGCCTACCAAGCTGCTGCCTATGCAACTTCTGCTCCCGTCACTCTGCCAGGAGTACCAGTTCGGGCCTACCGCATTGGTGCAACTGACTGAAACCAACTGCATATTTCACCTTCCCCACCAACCACAGAGACCGCCCTGCTGTTGTTGCAATTTTGAAAACCATGCCGCCACCACTGCTTTGAGTCCTGTGCTGGACCCACCAACTTTGAAGTCGCCATGCTCCAGCACCATCTCTCGCTGCTGGGTCCTCATTTGCTGCCACAGCGCACTGTTCAAGGACTCGCTGTCCTTCACGCTGGACTCGCTGTCCCCAAGCAGCTGATTCCTGCTGCCGCTACCACACATGCTCGGGAGGGTGGGCGCACTTTCGTCCTGCCGAAGATTCTGAAAAGGTCCCTAAAGAAATAAAAGCGAGGAAAGAAAGACAGCAAAAGAAAAGATCAAAAGCAAAAAGCAAAAGTGAAAAGACAGAGATGAAAAAGCAAAGAAAGCAGGGGGAAGCAGATGAGCCCCTGGTCAGGAACTTAGATTCAGCGCTGCTACTCCGCCACCATCTTGGATCACGACCAGTGGGTAGGCACATGTTTGCAACATGTCATGACTAACAGAATTAATCTTTACTTGCAGTGACAGTAATTAATCCAGAAAAGACAGCATTGCTTTGTCAAGGGCAGAACAGGTCTAACAAATTTGATTGAATTTTTCGAGGACTTACAGTTGGTATATTCTACCATGGATTAAGGCTTTTGATGATCAGTCTTGCATGTGACAGATTAAGAAGATAAGAGCCTCTGGGATCCAGGGCAATTTGGAAATTGGATCCAAAATTGCCTTCATGGCATATTGCAGGGTTTGGTGCTGGGCTCCTTGCTGTTTGTCGTGCATATTCACAATTTAACATGAACGTAGGAAGTTTGATCAGTAAGTTCAGAGGTGTCACCAAAGATTTTGCCGTGGTAATTAGTGAGGAGGAAAGCCTTAGACTCTAGGACAAGCTGGCCAGAATGTCAAAAGTGTAGCAGGCAGAGTTTAATCTGAAAATGTGTGAAGTGATGTGTGGAACTGAGGAGATGGGCGAGAATCTAAACAATTATTTTGCATCACTGTTTACTGTGGAGAAGGATATGGAAGATATAGAATGTGGGGAAATAAATAGCAACATCTTGAAAAATGTCCTTATCATAGAGGAGGTGGTGCTGGACGTCTTAGAATGCATAAAGATGGATAAATCCCTGGGACCTGATCAGTTTTAGGCTAGAACTCTGATCATTGATAGCTGCAGGTAAGTGCTGGAAGACTGAAGCTTGGTTAACGTGGTACCACTATTTAAGAAAGGTGGTAAGGAAAAGCCAGGGAACTACAGTTCGGTGAGCCTGACATCATTGGTGAGTAAATTGTTGGAGAGAATCCTGAGGGACAGCATTTACATGTGTTTAGAAAGGCAAGGACTGATTAGGGATAGTCAACATGGCTTTGTGCATGGGAAATTGTGTCTCACTAACTTGATTGAGTTTTTTGAAGAAGTAACAAAGCAGTTTGATGAGGGCAGAGCAGTGGACGTGATCTATATGGACTTCACCAAGGTGTTCGACAAATACAGAGAGAACTAACCATTTGGATACAACTGGCTCGAAGGCAGAAGGTGGTGTTGGAGGGTTGCTTTTCAGACTGAAGGCCTGTGACCTGCGGTGTGCCAAAAGGATTAGTACAGGGTCCACTGCTTTTTGTCATTTATATAAATGATTTGGATACGAGCATAGGAGGTAGCGTTAGTAAGTTTGCAGATGACACTAAAGTTGGAGGTGTAGTGGATAGCGAAGAAGGCTACCTCAGAGTACAATGGGATCTTGATCAGATGGGC